TTCTTTTAATATTGTTAGCAGACAAAGAAATACGGCTTCTCTCCTATTTGTCGAAGCTATCGCAATAAAAACACTTAAACCGGACCTGTGTATTCAAAAAGACACAGTAATTAACTTATTACTACCCTGATAATCCATTTTTGTTCTTTTATTTTTATTTTGTTGGTTATTAGTTTTATTTTGTTAATGTTTAGTTTGTGTTGATATTCGTCTTAACTACCCTATCATTCACACATTTCCGCTCACTTAATTCCTTTAAATTATGTAAAATCTCCAAAGTTCTATTCAATTATTACGTAACTCATTTCACCAGGTTTTTTTAATTCCATTAATCTCAATAGTTGAAAACATGAGTCTATTGAAGTTAGACTCATGATTTCAACTATTGAAATTACTAAAATCTCTACAAGACCTCTTCTGATAGTAAACATCTGCTCACTAGTAATTGACTTCAAGAGATACTCCTGGAGTTCTATTGAGAAGTCATGACCAGTGGAGTTCAATCAGGTCTGTTGTGAGATATCAGCTCACTGAAGACAATGGTGACGGTGACGCAACTTTGTGGATTATTTAGAGTTAGAAATTAACACCGTTGAATGTCGACCGGCCTAGTTGGTTGAGCGCCTGACGCGTAACTAACAGGTGTTGGCTTCGAATCTCGCGAGGAATGGGATCGTGGATGTGCACTGCTGAGGAATCCCATACTATAACGAAACAGTAATTTAGTACTTCCAGGTTTTTCATGGTGATCTAGCTTCAATTGACTCATGATTTCATCTATTGCAATAACTAAACTCTTCACAAAACCCCTTTCTGATAATTTCATTAATCCTTTATAACCTCTAAAATGATCGTACAACTTATCTTATCTGTCTCTGAATTCCACTCAACTATTACACTACTCATCTTTAATTCTAACATCAGATAACCTCTGACCTGTTCTTGCATATATATAGTTTGATACTCATTATCATTTTAATCCTTTACATTCACTTATATCAATTGTTCCATCCTATTTCATATTTTCATGTAAAATTCTAATACATATCAATAGTTGTAAGTAACTGTTGATGAGAAACCATGAAATTATAATGTCAATCATATTATTCTGCATTAATGTTTGTTTTGATTTTATTTTATATTCGATTATCTTCACTGATGTTCTTATTTACTACACTTGAGTACAATTAGTATGAGTTAAACCAAGATCAATATTTATAAATAACCATTCATTCATAGGATCTGCTAGAGTCAGTCAGTTGCAACGGCGAGACTCTAATTTAAGGACGAGCCAATCAGAAGCGTTTGAGCCATTTCAAGGTCACGGAGCCAAGTTTAACCCCTGATGCTCACATATGATCGGTTTACAGCGGATTATAGAGAAGGGGTGATTATTGAGAGGCTATAAGGGATAGGATTACTAAAACGTTCTTGTACGTGAGACTGCGATTATCAAATGACCGCAGTAAAGTGTGCAAATCACCGTGGTGAGATTATATTTCGTTGTCCTTCATGTTGGAGGAGAAAGTCTGCTAGAATGGGGACTTTCTTTGCCCGATTGCTACTGAAACTGAATCAGATTATGATAATAGTTGCAAATTGGCTAATAAATACACCAGTAACACTGGCTGCGGCGTTTGCAGTTGTTTATGAAATTTCAGCAGTCCAGTGGTATGAGTACTGCCGTGCAACTAAAATAACACTTGTACACCAATCATTTGGAGGAGTAGGATGTATCGTGCAGACAGATGAAACGGCAGTGAGAAAGCTAAAATACAACAGGGGACGTAGTATAAAGTAGGATTGTGTAAGTAGCATTTCCGTGAATATACTCGACAGGTACTTGGAATTTATGACTTTTTATATCGTATGCAATATGATTTCAAAACATCTGAAACTTTAGCAAACCTTGATAAGTTTTTAAATCACGTGAAATAAGTATATTCACTGTAATCCATTAGTTTCTTCTAATATATTTCTACGTTATACTAGCTGTCTTCTGATTGGCTAATATTCTCAAGGTCACTTAAAGTTCGTTCAAAGGACGTCCGTAAATTAGAGTCTCGCCACAAAAAGAAAAATCACAAAAAATTTATTGAATTTATGAATCAATTCAAATGAGACTATCGTGAAAAAACAAAACAAAACAACAACTCAAAAATCACTTGACAACTATTTCATTCTGATATGATTATTATTTTATTTATTTATTTTAACACATAGGTATTGGTACAAGGAGGCACCAAATATATATGCGCCACACGAATCTCAATTGATTTGTCTGAGGGCTGTGATACTGCCCAGGTGCCCAAACCGAAGCAGGTGGTTTTCTTAGGGGACCACAGCTGGAGCCTTCGACCGGAACGTCTGACCCACAAGGAAGTGGAGCATCGTAAGTAGATGCAGTCCCATGGTAGCCTGTGACCAACAATTGGTTCATTCGTCATTTGTTCCTTCAGGATACTGGTTTGGGATCCGGTTAAAGCGCCGGACATTCGCTTTTCGTCCTCTCATTTTCGTAAACAACAGTCATGCCACGAGAAAGCAGTTAGTAGGAGTTCTCTGGCAGAGGCTATATACGCATGGGCATGTGAGAGCATTTCGAGAGGGAGAGCGGACTCTCCCCACTCTCGACCGTACCAGTGCATTTGGGGGCATTCTGATATGAAATATCTTAATAGTGTATGATTTATAATTTCACTTGTAATATTTGAATTAAAATTCATCAGTATTATATGGAAATGTTTAATCTTTAATTCATTAATTGTAACATTTTATTTATTGTAAAGCTTTTGTATTCTAATGTTGAATAAGTGAAATCATATAAATATATACTACTAAAGAATTCTATATGAGAATAAAAACAATCATTCAGTGCTTTTATATCTTCAATTGTCATCTAATATTCATCAATTTACTGTGTAAATGTAACTTTAACTTTGCTAGAAGAGTTTAAGAATTCAATCAAGTATTCAATGAACAAGACTTAATCAAGATCAATATTTACAAATCACTATTTTATTCATAGAATAGTTACTCGGCTTTCACTCCGCTTGAAGTCCCATATCAGTGGGGCCTACTACCAGTCCTAAGCCCGGATAAAGGAAAAGGGTTAGGCATGGGGTTAGCGACCCAAATCCCGTAGAAAACTAACTCGCTAAAAAATAATAAAAAACAAACCCGATAACCAGAAAAATTTATTCATAGGATAGTGTTTATTCTTAATTTAAAAAACAAAAAAAAAATTATGTAAAAATCATCTATTTACAATAATGAATGAATGTTGTACAAATTTCATGTAATTAAATTTATAAATAAAAACAAAACAAAAAATAAAAAAAAAGATTATAAAATATTAAAAAAGCAAATTGAATAATTAAAACAAACAAACAAAAACTTGTAATCACTAATACATCATTTCGTCCTAATATGAAACTCTTCAGTAGTATATACTCAACATTTCAATGGTAATACATTTTATTCTTATTCCTATATGTTTAATCTTTAATCAATTAATCTAGTATCTAACGATAGTTAATATGTAAATGTTAATTAATTCAAAACTTTCGAATTGAAACCTTCAGTGATTAAGTTCATGAATATACATTACTATAGAATTTTATATTAAAATAAAATGATCATTGAATGCTTTTAAAATTTTTAATGATACTTTATTTTTGTTTTTTTTTTAATTGACTAATGTATTTAACTATTTAAAAAAAAAAATTACAATAATTTTCATAAAATTCATTTTTTTTTTAATAAAAGAAAATTCATTCAATAATTATACTACTTATATAGATATAAGTAGTATATGACGTGAGCACTGAACAAAATGTCTGACAGCAGAGAGACAAGAAGATTGAACAATAAAGAATGAAAAAAGAATACAATTTGTATGAAAATGCAAGAACAAAAGGATTCTAAGTCATTTTTAGACAATTGGTGAACAATTTGCAAATTAACGATTTAATATATAGTTGTTGAATTGTACTAACCAGTTCTGTAATTTGGTTCCAAATACATTCGATTGTAATAGGGATAGTAGTATTAGTAACAAGAATGGTACTGGTATTATTATTATTATTAGCAGTAGGAGTAGTAGTATTAGTATTAGTAATGATAATAGTACTATTAGTACTAGTGGTAGTAATAGTGGTAGTATTAGTAATGGTGATATTAGTACAACTAGTATTAGTAATAACAATAGTACTAATACTATTACTAGTAGTAGTTATGGTGGTAATAGTTATAGTAGTATTAGTAATATTAATAGCACTCATATTAATATTATTATTAATAGTAGTTGTAGTAGGAATAGTACTAGCAATAGTAATAGTTGTATTAGCAATAGTAGTATTAGTATAAGTAGTATTCGTAATAACAATAGTACTAATACTATTATTAGTAGTAGTTATAGTAGTATTAGTAATCATAATTGTACTAATAACTTTATTATTATTAGTAGCAGTAGTAATAGGAATAATAGTATTAGTATAATTAGTGTTAGTAATAATAATAGTACTATTATTATTAGTAGTAGTAATAGTATGAGTAATAGTAATAATAATAATAATAATAATAGTATGATTATGATTATAATTATTAATAATAATAATAAATTAATAAAACTTGATTATTCATTAATAATAATTCATTATTTAATTGTTCATTATTGTCATATAAATTTTTTGAATCATATATTACTTTTAAATAGGATAAACTACTTATATCAGGAAAAATTAATTTTAATGGTATCATTGTATTTAATGTTTGAAAATTTACAATAAAATAAATACGATATATTGTATGAATATAATTACGATATAAAATTAATAAATTTGATGGATTTTTATTAAGAATAAAACTAATTAATTGATTTTTATGAAATGGTGTATTTAATAAACTGAAATCATATAATTTATCAATAAATAATATCCAATTATATAAACGTTGTTTACCATTATTTAATAAATTAATATTAATTGGACAATATATATTATTATTATTATTATTATTATTATATGACCATTTTATAAGTAGTTGATTACCAGTAGTCTATAAAAGAATAATAAAAAATCAAATAAAAAATAAAATATATTTCGTCTTATTAAAGACTCATCAGTTAAATGTATATGTTATAATTTCAAAATTTCTATTATAATTATGATTATGATTAATTGAACACATAAACATTGATACAAGGAGGTATCATATACATATGGCCTATATACAAATCTGATTTGATTTATATGAGGATTATGATATTGCTTGGGTGATCAAACTGAAGCAAGTGATTTTCATAGCGAGTTATAGTTGGAGCCTTCGACCTAAAGGTCTAATCCCAAAAGGATTGGAGCATCCTAAAAAGATGTAATCAGATGGCAGTCTGTGACCAACGATTGATACTGGAACTAGCCCATGTGAACCATTGGTTTGAAATTAGGGTTTTATAACTTCCCTAGGTAGATTCTCCATGTTCACAAACCCGTTAAAAGTGCAGGACATTCACTTTTCGTCCTTGTGAACAACATCTCCTCCACGAGAAGTCAGTGAATAGGATTTCCCACGCAGAGGCTATATACCTGTGGCCATATAATGGCATTTCGAGAGGGTGAACGAACTCTCCTCACTCACTGCCGTTGCAGGGCATTTGGAGGCTATTTCAGAGTTAATGTTCACTTTGAGACTTGGACCTAATAATATTCGTTTCAAACTCCATTGTATTATTTACTTCTCTACTAAGTCCTGATAGTCACTTTTTTGTACAATGGGATGAATTTAAATTCACTTGACTGAATAATTACAGTCTTAAACTTCAACAGGAAGATACAAACAAAACAAAAATACCAAGAAAATATCTAGTAGATTTATACAATAATTAAATATTAATGAAAGGTCATGAATATACAGAGTTGATCTAGAAGAGTTAGAAAAACATTGATGATAAATCAATTAATATACATCGGCTCTAGAAACCTGAAGGAAACAAATGATGTATGAATCTATTGTTGATGACTGTATCTCTTAACATTACTTCATTGCTTTGTAGATAAGACCATCAGGTCGAAGGCTCCAGGTGTTCACAGTATGATTTGTGTGGAAATGCAATCTAAAACGATTGACTGATACTTTGAAAATAAATTATTTACTATATGATTCTTAGATTTTACTAAGAGAATGTGTAATTTTGTGATCAAATACATTTGGTTGTGCACAATTTTGTTCTCGTTCACTACAGTATATCTTAGTCTTTTATTTCAATACACTTAGTTATAATTTGTAGCGCATCAAGAGAATCCATTCACGGATAACACTTTGACATTAGAATAGATAATTGATGATAGTGGGCATAAAACTTACTCCCTATATTTATTGTTATATAACATTCGTCAAAAAGAACACCACTGAAGTTATTAAGAGCACTTCGAACCACTCAAGTGTTTAGGCTTATCAAAATTGAACTATTCATAATGCATCTAAAAGCCTTCAAGAATAGGTAGTGAATAATTTCATTATTATCTAATCCTATAGTGCTGATCAAATTCTACTAAACATTGTGAATATCTCATTCTTGAAGAAAGTTACTCCCAACCTGAAAGTTCATCAGTTATGCTTCAGTATCTATAGAGCTTCTTGATCCACAGTATGAGTGCAATAGGAATTATTGGTTCCTTCAAGTTTGTAATATGCCTTGTCAACAGAGTACAACTAGCACGAAATTTTTCCTACCAAATACTCCCAAACTATAAAATCTCAAAACATTATCTAAACGAAACGGTCGTCAACTTCTTTCATGTTTTCCATGGTGGTCTACCTTTAATTGACATATACTCATTAATAGCAGTCTCCAAGAGGTATTTCCTAAAGTTCTAGTGAGAAGCCATGACCAATGGATTTTAACCGGGTCTGCTGTGAGACATTAACTCATCGAAGACAAACATGAACGGTGGCACAATTTCATGGATTAGTTGATGTTAAACATCAACACCATTGGATACCGCCCAGCTCAGTGGTCTAGAGTTTAAGTACTCGAGCGCGAATCTCCGGAGGCGAGCTCATGAATACGCACTGTTGAGTAGTTCCACAGTAGAACGAAACGACCCTCCAGTGTTTCCAGTTTTCAATCAACTTACAATCTCAACCACTAAAAATAGATTACAATTCTATTCCTTATAAAGTCAAAAAACAAAACAAGCAATTGACGTACCAAATCAACTTCTTGTCCAGCTATCATTAAATAACTACCTGGTAGAAAATATGCTAATTTTTGTACGGTTTCAAAATCTTTATTATCTTCACTTAATTGATGAACTAACCATATTGGACTACATTTTCTTAATTGGGTATCATTCATAGCTTCATGAAAAAGAAAAAGCGGAAAGACAAATTTAAAAAAAAACAAAATAGAATGTAATGAATTACGTAATATGTAATGGAGATGAACTGGTCGATGAGAATTTGAATATTTATTGACTTAGTTGATTGCCTCCAAATGCCCTGGGATGGCAGAGAGTATGGTGGGCCCACCCTCCCTCTTGAAATGCTTTCACACGGCCACGCGTATATAGCATCTGCCAGAGAATTCCTACTCACTGCCTTCTCGTGGCGTGTTTGCTGTTTACTACAATGAGAGGACGAAAAGCGAATGTTCGGCACTTTAACCGGTTTGGTGGACACAGAGAATTCGCCTAGGGGAGTTGGGAAACCTTCATTCCAAACCAATGGTGCACATGGGCTGGCTCAGGTATCCTGAGGGAACAAATGGCATATGAACCAATTGTTGGTCACCGGCTACCATGGGACTGCATCTCCTCACGATGCTCCACTGCCTTGTGGGTTAGATCTTTAGATCGAAGGCTCGGGGTGTGGACCCCTAAGAAAACCAGCTGCTTCAGTCTGGGCACCCGAGCAGTATCACAGCCCACTCACAAACATAATCAAATGAATTAGTTGATTAGAGTATATGTTTAGTATTACTTACGATTGTCTATTTCGTTGGTCAATATGTATAGGAATGGTATAGGAATAAGTTGCAATCAAGCTAAGATTGGCCAAATGAATATACAAGGTCAGTATGTTAAGTTAATGACTGTTGAACTGAACCATATTAGTATATATAAGCTACAAAGTTGAAATTATTGTAATCAATGGTTGATGATACTGGGTGACATGGATCAGAATTGATACAGATTCATTCAATGCTTCCATTTAAAAACTGTCTAATACCCTTTATTGTTTCTTCTCGAAACATTGTCTCTATTTAATGTTTTTTTATTACTACTATTGCTCCTACTTCTGAGATTCTGGTATTTGTTCTAATAATTTCATCTCACTGTTTTAATGTTATATGGTAAGTTGAATTGATGCTCATAAATACCAGGTTTTATGTTTTCTGTGACTAATTGGTTGATTACATGAGGGAGCGTCATTTTACGTAATAAGAAGTTAGATAATAACTCTGTTGGATGACGACCGGCTCAGTGGTCTAGATGTTAAGCGTTAGCGTGCGAGACCGATAAATTTTGGGTTCGAATCCTGCGGGACGGAATCGTGGATGCACACTGCCATTGAGGCGTGTCACAATAGAACGGAAGGGTCGTCAAGTGCTTCCAGGTTTTCCGTGGTATTCTAGCTTCAATTGACTCATGATATCAACTATTAAAAATTTAATAAGTAAAAGTTGTTTTCTAACTAGTTAGAATTCGTTCAATTATACAATGGATAGGATTCAATCAGGTAATCAGGTGATTAAGATAGATAAATCCTGTAAAATGAAATAATGGAGTAAAATTGAATAGAATTAGAGACATAGTAGCTAAGATGAAGAGGGCAGTAATCAATTAAGAGGCTATGAAAACAACTTCTGTACATGTATTTATCAGGTTTATTAATCTGTATTCTTATAGCTTCTCATATATGTAAGAGCTGGATTCTAGGAGCTTAGAAAAAGTTTGTTGCCATTTCATGAATAACTTTCATAGTTGAACTGACTAACATCATAAGCAAAGATGGATATTGGCTAGCAGTGGAATCCAGTTTGACGCGCGTTTCTTCCTATTTGGGACTCGTCAGCTGAATGTACCTGCATTTCAGAGTTGATGTTCACTCTGAGATGCAGGCACATCCAGCTGACGAGTCCCAAATAGAAAGAAACGCGCGTCAAACTGGATTCCACTGCTAGTCACTATCAAGATAGAATTTCTTCTTATTTTTCTTTTGATTTATAGTTACCAACAGAAGTGATTTCTTTGAAATATGACAGTATTGAGATGGTGGAGAAGATTTGTAGCTCAGATAAATGATTTTGATGGAGTTTTGTTCTCTGAGCTGGATAGTTTGGTTATACATAATGTGATTCACAAGTGCGGTGGAACTAGTTAGTTTATTCATAGTTTATAAACTCACAATTGCTCACTTTTGTATTCTTTGTTATTTTGAATATTCTACAGATAATGATGTGTAGTGGTTAGCTGTGAAATACAGGATAAAGTGCATTTCCTCCTATTTAGGACTCGTCATTTGGATGTACCTGCATATCAGAGTTGATGTTCATTCATTCTAGGACGCGATTTCAGTACAGTTCGCTTCAAACGCCATGGCGTTATTCACTTAGCTACTGAGTCCTGATAGACACTTGATTATGCAATGAGGTGAGGTTTAAATTCACTTGGTTATCAGGACACAGTATCTAAGTCGATAACGTGATGGTGTAATGTTGGTTACTATGTTAAGCCCATATCACTTATTCTAGCTTCTGAACAGGCTAATTTATTCATTATCCTTGAGTCACGTTTTGGCATTGTTAATTATTCATTTATCAATCCGGACTGTTTTTATATGAGCGAATGTGCGTTTATATCTTATCTTACTCATCACACATCTATAACTTATTTTTATCGGGCTATAAATATCGATTAACGCTGGATTGAATCGAGTTGGCTGACACGAGTTCTTCGTTGAGCGTCATTTCGCTTCGCTCTCTTCTCTTCGCTTTGTTTCTTCACTCGTTTTTCTGGATGGACAATTGTACGAAATATATGTATTCGGAATTCATTCTCATATTTGACTTATTTTAATTCCGTTATTCACTAATGCGATTCAAGTCGATGATTATATACAAGATTATTCAGGATGTGTATCTCAACAGCAATCATTCAATAAGGATCATTTGCCCTCTTTAACTGGATTCAGATACCGGATCACTAAAATGGCGTTTGAAGCGAACGATACTGGATTTAATTTCCAGAGTGAACATCAACTCTGAGATACAGGTACATCCAGCTGACGAATCTCAAGTAGGACGAAATGCGCTTTATCCTGGAAATCACTGCTAGCCACTATCCATATTTGCTTATAATGCTTGCGAATTAAGTCAATATCGAGGCAATCCGTACAGGATGCACATATTCCGATAAGAGACTGATCAATTGCGGTCCTAAAGAGATCAATGGAAAGATTCAAGTAAACAAATATTCTGTATAAATCTAAATTACCTTGTCGAATTTGTGAATCTAAGTCATCACTCCTTGTAGGTACACGAATATTCAGTGTAAGTGTATGCAAACAAACTTTCTGTTCCATATTCACCATGGCATCCATTTTTGGTTCGTCAGCAAACCATATGAATTCATCTAAAAGAAGTGAGTTATGAAAAAAATTATATAAAGTTGATAGATGAAATGTTGTGTAAGATCATGGATTAATTGTAGTCGGACATCAACATTATTGAATGGCGGCTCAATGGTCAAGAGGTTAAATCTTCGAGCGCGAAACCGAAGGTCCTGGGTTTGAGCTACACGTGAGGGGTCATCGATTTGCACTGCACAGGAGTGTCATACTAGATTGAAATGGCTGTGCAATGCCCTCAAGATTTTAATGGTGGTCGAACTTCGATCGACTGATGACTTCAAATGTGCAAATATATATTATTACTTTAAAGTTGTTATAAAAAGCTATTTGATTAGAAATATTTCGTTCACTTTATTCATCTTGTTCTACCAGATTATTGATTGAGAAGTCCCGTTTAATATTATCAGAATGGGATTTTGTGGATATTGTGGTGATTCTTACTAGTTGAATTCATGGGTCGATTAAACAAAGACCATTATGGAAAACCTGGAAGCACTGGATGGTCGTTTCGTTCTATTATGGAATTCCTCAGAAATGCGTATCCACGATCCCGCACGCGGGACTTCAACCCAGGACCTCTGATCCCGCGGATGAACGCTTAGTTTGTTACATTGCATTCAACATAAATAAATTCAGAAGAAATGAATTAAGGGAGGAGGTATTATATTTGGACGAAGAATAAGAGAATAGTAATCGCTAGGATCTATTTATGGGCTATTATTATATATACTTTTATTGTATAACCACTAAGTAACGAAATTACAGATATATATTTGGGTCCCTTTTATTATAAGCTTCCGTTTGACATACCAACTACTATTATGTGATTTACTATTCTTAAAATGTTCCCAATTTATTGGTTACAATCTCTCACAATCACAACGACTTCTTGCTTGATTTTGCATAATTGTTATTTATTTTATGGTATGAGGCGGTTTGATTTGCTTGTATGTAGACCAAGTATCTCTGAACTACACAATTCATATAGCGAAGGCTGATATTGGTGTTCTGAACTGAACCGGCTGGATTAGACGTGAAGCTAATATCTCAATGGTCCAATAAGAACTCAGTGTTTACTCTAGACTGCTCGTATTGATTTATGCCTCATTGGTCTGATCAATAACTCAGTGTTTTAATTGACGGTATTAGTCTATAAAACGTCAGAATAAATTTTTATAAGAAATATTTACAACTGGTTATTGAACACAATAATAATGAAATAGTAAAATATGAAAAATGGTATAGGTTCTGTACAACCCGATGGAATTCTCTGTCAACACTTCATTGATATCACAGTCATAATTTTCACTGTAGGAAATGAAGAGTTGTCTATGCAGGATACTCAATATCCAATGGCTGAATATCATCAGGAAAAAACTACTGTAGGAGAGAACAAACCAGCTTCCACCTGAAGAGGAAATTAAGAAAAGATGGATGTGGATAGGGCACACATTGAGAAAATCATCAAACTATATCACGAGGCAAGCACTAACTTGAAAAGGTCAAAGAACACTATATCAGTAATTGGAAGCAGACATGAACGGGATGAATAGCAACTGGAAAGGATTTCTCATGACAGAGACGGATGGAAAATGTTGTTGAGTGGCCTATGTTCCTTCATAACAAGTAACAGGCATACGTAAGTAAGTAAGCAAGGAGGGAGGGAAGTGAACTAAAGCCTCCGTTTAAGTGTTATTGATAGTTCTTTTTATAAAGACTTACCGTTAGTGTCTGTATTTAAGATTTTTCTAATACCTGGAACCATTTCTTCAAGTAAATTAGTTGAATTCATTATCATAACACCTTGAATTTCAAGTTTTTGTTTCCAAAATTTAATCACTTCAATCATTTTCATTTGAACCTATAATTCATATTTAAGAAAAGACTATTAAAGATATTCGGAACAATGAAATACCATTGTTGAGTATCGATTAGTGAATGAATTAATAGATTTATGATACTGGGTTCGAGTACTTGCTGAAGTGAATATCAACTTTGTGATGCAGGTACATCCAGTTGACGAGTCTCATCAGACTGGATGCCACTACTAAACACCATACATCTTTCCTTATATAAGCAATAGTGCCCACGGTGTCGAGCCACCTAGACTGGTGGCCACATTGCAACATGATCGATAGCATTCGATCTGCACTAATAATAAGGACTAGACACGCATGACATTGGTCACCCAGTGACCAATCAATTGTGATTACATCTCAGTCCTACAGGAGGTTGGTCACGGCCAGGATAGCTCAGTGGTAACGTCTCTGACTGTGAAGCTGAGTGACAGGGGATCGAATCCGCCAGAGAGCACCAGTTCCCTCAAAGATTACAGGTACACCTTGCTGACGAGTGTCAAGTAGCACGAAACCCGGGTCCAGGGTTTCCTGCCGACCACCTCCAACCACCATCTAACCTTGTATGGAATTTCTCTACCATTCGCCTAATTTAAATGTGATCTGGAATAGATGTAGACAGAAATTTTTCATCACATCAGCCTATGAACTCACGAAAATCAAGGAACAATATGCAATTCAATAAGTGACACTCATTAAATGAACAGAAGGTAATCAAATGTTTTAGAGACAGTATGTTATATCTAGAGCTCAGATTCTTAATATACCGCGTATAACTTGAGCACTCAAATGCTAGAACACTTTCAAGTCGGAAATGAGAAGATGGAAGACAAGCGAAAGGAATGTTATTTCAAACAATATCAAATATGGTACAAAACTGTCAGGTATTTATAATTTTTAGTAAGAACATAATCATCATTATGGTCCTCCAATCCGCATACAGAAGGTTATTAACATTTGTCCAACAGGGAAGGTACACGTAGGGATTCTGAAATATCCTTCCAAAAGATGATTGGATGGAATATTTTCAGCTCTTTCTGAGCGTCTTAGAGCTTCCTCATATTCACCCATGGACTGCCCCCACACAATACATTTAGTAAACATTGAAAACTTTATTGATACGTTTAGCTTAGCTTAAATACTTAAAATATGTGAATTTAGAGGCTTTCTATTTCATTGAAAAATTTCAACCTTGAAAATCCATAGTGGGATTTCTAAACCAAACAACTCATACATGACTTTGTTAGCCATATAATATGAATGTAGTGAACGAGAACACACGAGTGCGGACAGTCGAATGTATGTGAACACAAAACTACAGAATATCTTAGTAAAATCTGAGATCTATATAGTAAATACTTCATTTACAAAATGTTCATTAATTGTCTCAGACTTCATTATTCTTTCGTTTCCATATCAATCATTCTTGATTCTCGTCTTCCTCTCTTCGATCTTCTTAACCATCTACCGCTAGATATTTCATTTTTGATTGATGATACATACTACTTATTATCTATCGATATCATTAGCACACACCATACTACTATTGATGAATAACTGTAATATTTACTGAATTAAAGTCATCACTCACATATTCAATATCTGAATTACATTTTTATGCAAACATATTGTAACATGCTATACAGTAAATATAACTACCTACTCAATGTGATCAGAAATTAGAATGATTCAGAGATCATATAAAACTATAAACAGAATTAGTTACAATATTGAAAAACATCGCATACATTGAAATAACTGGTGTTTGAAAAAGAAACATTGTTGTATATTGTCTACAATTCATCATTATGTAATACTCTATATTTCAATACCATGCTAAGATAGAGAATTAGTTGATAAGGTTAAGAATCATCATCAATTGATGTAGTTAAAATATATTTTTAAATATGTCTAACCATCGTTTACCTTAACACTGTAGTAGTTTAAAAGTAATTTAAGGACAACAAAATCAAAAACTTATCTTAATCTATAAAGTTATCAATTGTTAAACTTAATCATAATGATTAGTACAAACGACCTGATTAAATTTTTCATACTATTTACAATCAATGTTTACGGTAGTTGAGTGATATTACTCATGATTAGTTACTATGGAGTAGATACCTCTCTATATCGTAAATTTCAGCATTCCTTTCTACATATCTTGTTACTACCATTTCAAAATATATATCTTCAATGTTTAGTATTTCTCATTATAATTAGTATTATAAATAGTTTGATTCCTTAATTATTCATCTTAAGTTTATCTGTTCATGTGAAAGTCAGGGCTAACGCAAATTTGTAACTCACTGAAAACAATGGTGTATGTGTCGTTCAATGTCGTGGATTAGTTGAAGTTAGCCTTTAACACCGTTGGATACCGGCCGTCTCAGTGGTCTAATGATTAAGCGCTTGTGCACGAATCTCGCAAAGCGGGATCGTGGATACTTAATGTCACTGAGGAGTCATACAATAAGACGAAACGGCTATCCACTTCTTCTAGGTGTTCCATGATGGTCTAGCTTCAGATGAATTATGGTCTCAACCATTGAAATGAAATAAAAAGTTGTAAAAATAGAAAGTTGTATAACTTACATTAGGGTTACTTAAATTCAATAATGGACTATTTGGATTACCATGCACATGTCGATAGTATGCACGACGAATAGAATCATAGGCATAATGTCGTTTCTGTTGATCAGTTAAAGGCTAGAAACAACAAGCATTGCATATTAATTATATCTATCAGTAAACTGAAAACAATACTTTACAATGAACAGTTTATGAAATAACAAAAAAATATTATACAAAGTCATAAGAAGTTAGTCAGTCAGATACAACGAATATATATGCATCGTTCCAAGTTGTCATACCTCATTAGCACAGCAATTCGAACGCCAAATTCAAAGAAGTAGTTACTTCAATGATAGTAATATATAATAGAAAGATTGGATATAAGAATATAGTACAGGAAGAAAGAATTAGTACGTAGGAAGAAAGATATCGAGCAATTTTATTCTCATAGTTTAAGGGAAGACAAAGAGTGTATACATTTACGCCATTCTGATCGATTTTCAGCCATGCCGCCCACAGTTACCAACCATTGGTTACGATAGTCACGTGGACCCCAATTAAGTAGTTTGCATCTACCAACACGGTTAAGACTAAAAGTTAGTGACTTTAAGCAATGATGCTGAACCAGATCCCGTCATATCAGGAAGAAATCAAAGACAAAAGACAGAAAGAGGTTTCGAAAACCAAGAATAAACTCTTCTCTATTGGAGTTTAGATTTGCTTCATTGATTAATTTATTCTTGTAGCTTATTTTAGGCAGAAATAAAGATAGTTCATAACAAAAAAGCGTACTACAAAAGATTAATATAACCGATTGATCTTTTATTCTGTTAGGGAAAAATCTAAAATGAAAAATATTTGGTTTAGAACTTGGATATAACTGATACTTCCATTTGATGTTGAATTTATCAACTGGCTCTTAGTGTATGAGAACTACAGAGGCATTACTCTTCTCTCAATATCAGGTAAATTCTTCTACATGGTATTGTTAAAAATTCAACTTCGAGGTCAACAGGCTGGATTCTGTAAGGATCGATCGTGTGTCTACCAAATCAACAATCAAGTGAATGGAGTTTACCACTCTACATCAACTACATTGACTACGAGGATGTATTTGATAGCGCGGATAGGAAAATACTATGGAGGCTGCTTCGACATTATGGCGTGTCTGGGAAGATAGTGAACATCATACGAAATTCCTATGATGAATTAAACTGCATAATCGTACGTGGAGGACAATTGACAGACTCGTTCGAGGTAAAGACCGGTGTTAGGCGAGGTTGCTTACTCTCATCCTTTCTCGTTCTACTGGTGATCGACTAGATCATGAAGATGTCAACATATGAGGGGAAGCATGGGATATAGTGGACAGCTAGGATGCAGATGAAAAATCTATACTTCACAAATCATCTGGCTCTTCTATCGCACACGCAACAACAAATGCAGGAGAAGACGACCAATGTAGCAGCAGCCTCGGTAGCAATAGGTCTCAACATACACAAATGGAAAAGTAAGGTTCTCTGATAAAACACAGCATGCACCATCCAAATTACAAAGAGGGACCGAATACATATGCGTCACACAAATCTCGATTGATATGTGTGAGGGCTGTGATACTGCCCGGGTGCCCAAACCGAACCAGGTCATCCAAATTACACTTGATGGAGAAGCTTTGGAGGATGTAAAATCGTTTACATATCTGAGCAGCGTCATTAATGACCACGCGGGATCTGATGCAGATGTGAAGGCGCGGATCGGCGAAACAAGAGCACCATATTTGCAAGTGAAGAACATTTGGAACTCAAAACAACTGTCAATCAACACCAAGGTCAGAAATTTCAATACAAATGTCAAGTCAGTTCTACTGTATGGGGCGGAAACTCGGAGAACTATGAAAACCATCATCCAGAAGATACAAGTGTTTATTAACATTTGTCTACGGAAAAAAATACTCTGGATCCGTTGGCCAGACACCATCATCAACAACCCTCTGCGCGAGAGAAAAACCAGATTCCAGCGAAGGAAGAAGCACTGGAAGTGGATAGGACACAAATTGATGAAAGCACCCAACTGTGTCACAAGACAAGCCCTCACATGGAATCCTCAAGGCCAAAGACGAATAGAAAGACCAAACAACACATTACGCCGAAAAATTGGAGACAGACATGAAAAGAATGAACAACAATTGTATCGAACTGGAAAGGTAGGCCCAGAACAGAGTATGTCGGAGAATGTTGATCGGCGGCCTATGATCCACTGAGGATAACAGGCATAAGTAAGTAAGCAAGTAAGTCAAACTCTGAAAACAGAATTATTCAATTCATATCAATCCGGAAAACAGTAATTGAATAAGTCGACATCTACCATCCTACCCTATTTTATGAAGGTCTACTAACATACCCTCTCGAACTAATCTTGTTACTGACTCAAAACAAAACAACTGAGCTATAAATTAAATAATTTTAGATCATGGTTAAGATTAAACTTTTTTAGGTTTTTAGTTTCTACTTTTAACTAATCAAAAAATAAACAAATAATAATTGTGGGTGCGCACTGCTGAAAAGTCCCAAAATAAGACAAAACGGTCATCTACTGCCTCCAGGATTTCCATGGTGGTCTAGCTTTAATTGATTCATGATCTCAACTATTGAAATTACTATAATATTCACAAAAACCCCTTCTGATATCAATCAACATATGCTCATTAGTGACTGATCACAAGAGTTATTTCCTAGAGTTCTAGTGAGAACCAATGACTAATGGAGTTCAACTAGATCTGTTGTAAGATAATAACTCAGTGAAGATAATCATGAACGGTAGCATAATTTCATGAATTATTTCAAATTAGACATTAACACTGTTGTAATATCAGTTCACTCAATAGTTTAGAGATTAATCATTTGTACAAGAGACCAATAGGTCCTTTCATTGAATCTCATGAAGTAGGATCATAAATGTGCACTGTTTAAAAGAGTTCTATAATAGAACAAAACGATTATCTACTACTTTTAAATTTTCCAATGATGAACTAGTTTTAATGAACTCATAATTTTTAATGATTAAGATCATGAGTCAGTTGAAGCTAGACCACCATGAAAAATCTGGAAAACCATGAAAAACCTACTGAAATGTCCCAAAATAAGACAAAACGGTCATCTATTGCCTCCAGGTTTTCCATGATGGTCTAGCTTCAAATGACTCATGATCTTAATCATTGAAATTACTACAATCTTCACAAAACCCCCTTCTGATATCAATCAACATATGCTCATTGGTGACTGATCACAAGAGTTATTTCCTAGAGTTCTAGTGAGAACCAATGACTAATGGAGTTCCAACTAGATCTGTTGTAAGATAATAACTCAGTGAAGATAATCATGAACGGTAGCATAATTTCATGAATTATTTCAAATTAGACATTAACACTGTTGTAATATCAGTTCACTCAATAGTTTAGAGATTAATCATTTGTACAAGAGACCAATAGGTCCTTTCATTGAATCTCATGAAGTTGGATCATAAATGTGCACTGTTTAAAAGAGTTCTATAATAGAACAAAACGATTATCTACTACTTTTAAATTTTCCAATGATGAACTAGTTTTAATGAACTCATAATTTTTAATGATTAAGATCATGAGTCAGTTGAAGCTAGACCACCATGAAAAATCTGGAAAACCATGAAAAACCTACTGAAATGTCCCAAAATAAGACAAAACGGTCATCTACTACCTCCAGGATTTCCATGGTGGTCTAGCTTTAATTGATTCATGATCTCAACTATTGAAATAACTATAATATTCACAAAAAACCCCTTCTGATATGAATCAACATATGCTCATTGGTGACTGATCACAAGAGTTATTTCCTAGAGTTCTAGTGAGAACCAATGACTAATGGAGTTCAACTAGATCTGTTGTAAGATAATAACTCAGTGAAGATAATCATGAACGGTAGCATAATTTCATGAATTATTTCAAATTAGACAATAACACTGTTGTAATATCAGTTCACTCAATAGTTTAGAGATTAATCATTTGTACAAGAGACCAATAGGTCCTTTCATTGAATCTCATGAAGTAGGATCATAATGTGCACTGTTTAAAAGAGTTTCTATAATAGAACAAAACGATTATCTACTCTTTTAAATTTTCCAATGATGAACTAGTTTTAATGAACTCATAATTTTTAATGATTAAGATCATGAGTCAGTTGAAGCTAGACCACCATGAAAAATCTGGAAAACCATGAAAAACCTACTGAAATGTCCCAAAATAAGACAAAACGGTCATCTACTACCTCCAGGATTTCCATGGTGGTCTAGCTTTAATTGATTCATGATCTCAACTATTGAAATTACTATAATATTCACAAAAACCCCTTCTGATATCAATCAACATATGCTCATTGGTGACTGATCACAAGAGTTATTTCCTAGAGTTCTAGTGAGAACCAATGACTAATGGAGTTCAACTAGATCTGTTGTAAGATAATAACTCAGTGAAGATAATCATGAACGGTAGCATAATTTCATGAATTATTTCAAATTAGACATTAACACTGTTGTAATATCAGTGTCACTCAATAGTTAGAGATTAATCATTTGTACAAGAGACCAATAGGTCCTTTCATTGAATCTCATGAAGTAGGATCATAAATGTGCACTGTTTAAAAGAGTTCTATAATAGAACAAAACGATTATCTACTACTTTTAAATTTTCCAATGATGAACTAGTTTTAATGAACTCATAATTTTTAATGATTAAGATCATGAGTCAGTTGAAGCTAGACCACCATGAAAAATCTGGAAAACCATGAAAAACCTACTGAAATGTCCCAAAATAAGACAAAACGGTCATCTACTACCTCCAGGATTTCCATGGTGGTCTAGCTTTAATTGATTCATGATCTCAACTATTGAAATTACTATAATATTCACAAAAACCCCTTCTGATATCAATCAACATATGCTCATTGGTGACTGATCACAAGAGTTATTTCCTAGAGTTCTAGTGAGAACCAATGACTAATGGAGTTCAACTAGATCTGTTGTAAGATAATAACTCAGTGAAGATAATCATGAACGGTAGCATAATTTCATGAATTATTTCAAATTAGACATTAACACTGTTGTAATATCAGTTCACTCAATAGTTTAGAGATTAATCATTTGTACAAGAGACCAATAGGTCCTTTCATTGAATCTCATGAAGTAGGATCATAAATGTGCACTGTTTAAAAGAGTTCTATAATAGAACAAAACGATTATCTACTACTTTTAAATTTTCCAATGATGAACTAGTTTTAATGAACTCATAATTTTTAATGATTAAGATCATGAGTCAGTTGAAGCTAGACCACCATGAAAAATCTGGAAAACCATGAAAAACCTACTGAAATGTCCCAAAATAAGACAAAACGGTCATCTACTACCTCCAGGATTTCCATGGTGGTCTAGCTTTAATTGATTCATGATCTCAACTATTGAAATTACTATAATATTCACAAAAACCCCTTCTGATATCAATCAACATATGCTCATTGGTGACTGATCACAAGAGTTATTTCCTAGAGTTCTAGTGAGAACCAATGACTAATGGAGTTCAACTAGATCTGTTGTAAGATAATAACTCAGTGAAGATAATCATGAACGGTAGCATAATTTCATGAATTATTTCAAATTAGACATTAACACTGTTGTAATATCAGTTCACTCAATAGTTTAGAGATTAATCATTTGTACAAGAGACCAATAGGTCCTTTCATTGAATCTCATGAAGTAGGATCATAAATGTGCACTGTTTAAAAGAGTTCTATAATAGAACAAAACGATTATCTACTACTTTTAAATTTTCCAATGATGAACTAGTTTTAATGAAACTCATAATTTTTAATGATTAAGATCATGAGTCAGTTGAAGCTAGACCACCATGAAAAATCTGGAAAACCATGAAAAACCTACCTGAAAAGTCCCAAAATAAGACAAAACGGTCATCTACTACCTCCAGGATTTCCATGGTGGTCTAGCTTTAATTGATTCATGATCTCAACTATTGAAATTACTATAATATTCACAAAAACCCCTTCTGATATCAATCAACATATGCTCATTAGTGACTGATCACAAGAGTTATTTCCTAGAGTTCTAGTGAGAACCAATGACTAATGGAGTTCAACTAGATCTGTTGTAAGATAATAACTCAGTGAAGATAATCATGAACGGTAGCATAATTTCATGAATTATTTCAAATTAGACATTAACACTGTTGTAATATCAGTTCACTCAATAGTTTAGAGATTAATCATTTGTACAAGAGACCAATAGGTCCTTTCATTGAATCTCATGAAGTAGGATCATAAATGTGCACTGTTTAAAAGAGTTCTATAATAGAACAAAACGATTATCTACTACTTTTAAATTTTCCAATGATGAACTAGTTTTAATGAACTCATAATTTTTAATGATTAAGATCATGAGTCAGTTGAAGCTAGACCACTATGGAAAACCTGGAAAACCATGAAAAACCTGCTGAAAAGTCTTAAAATAAGACAAAACGGTCATCTATTGCCTCCAGGTTTTCCATGATGGTCTAGCTTCAAATGACTCATGATCTTAATCATTGAAATTACTACAATCACCACAAAACCCCCTTCTAATAATAATCATAATTTTTAATTATTTATAAATAAAAAAAATCAATGTACTACATATACTCACTTGTATATTAGTCCATATATAAAATGTACTATAAACATTATTATTATTATTATTATTATTATTATTATTATTTGATTGACTTAAACGAAACCATTCATGTCTATTACTTGTTGTATAAATAGGTAAACCAATTAAAATTTTTATATTTTTTTGTTTTGATTTTTTTATTAATTGTGGTAAATAATTATAAAATGATTCTTCTGTTGGATCAATTGATTGATTAATTGTTATCCAATCAATAATACCATGATGATCAGAATTTAATAAATTTGTAAGTAATATACTTGTAACACCAATCTAAATGAAATTTGCAAATGAATGAGTGGGTGGATGGAGAGGAAAGGGAGGGAGGGAGGGAGGGAGGGAGGGAGAGTGAGAGAGAGAAGGGGTGGGAAGGGGAAGGGGAGGACAAAAAAAAAGATATATAGATCATTCATTTTTTTTATTATTTAAAAGGAAATAATATAAATTAATAGAAATTATTTGTATTATTTTGAAATAATAAATAGTTACTATGTGAAATATTCAATATAAGTATCTAGGATACAAGTATAATTTGTGTTCATTCAATGTATGATCAACTTGTATTTTTTTAAAAAAAAGTTTATTATTATAGGTAAATATAACTAGATTTACTTGATATTTTTTTATTTGAATTTTTCCATCAATGTTTATGACTTCAATTAATCAGTCTTTTATTAGTATATGTGGATCATATGAGAATTACCTCAATATTGCTTTAATTTATAAGTAAAGATGGATAGTGGCTAGTAATGAAATCAAGAATGTGTGTTTTATGTTATTTGAGACTTGTCAGCTGAATGTACCAGCATTTCAAAGTTGATATTGACTATAGAACTAGAACCCAGAACTATTCGCTTCAAATGTAATTACGCTCAGTCAGTCAGTCGGTCAGTCACAATGTAGGATCAAGCACATATATGCATCGATCTAATTTGTCACACTTCATTACCACAGTAAGACGAACACCGGATTGATAGAAGCAGTTAACTCAATGGTGTAATATACAAAGGAAAGATTGTATATAAGAATATAGTACAGGAAGAAAGAATTAGTACGTAGGAAGAAAGATATCGAGCAATTTTATTCTCATAGTTTAAGGGAAGACAAAGAGTGTATACATTTACGCCATTCTGATCGATTTTCAGCCATGTCACCCACAGTCTCCAACCGTTGGTTACGATAGTCACGTGGACCTCAACCAAGTAGTCTGCATTTATGAACATGCCTGAGACTTGAAGTCAATGACTTCGAGCAATGATGCCATGTTTTGGTTTGGCCGCCTCACTTCGACTCCCAGATTGAACTCTCAGATCCAGGTACGTTCAGTTAACGAGTTCGAAATAAGACGAAACGCGCGTGTTGAATTCCAATGCTAACTATTATCCACCTTTGCTTAGAAATATAACTAGTTATGAAAACGGATAATGGTCAAGTGGTAGATAGAAATAAATTATTTAGAATAGTTTATCTTATACAAACTGCCCTGACTTATTTGGGTTCATTTTCACGAGTCAATTAAAGGTAGACTAGCATGAAGGACCTGAAATCGCTGGACGGCCATTTCGTCCTAGTATGGGACTCCTCAACATTATGCACTTACGACCTCTTTCGCAGTCTCGCATGCCAACAATTAACGTCTCGACCAATGAGTCGGCATCCAACAGTTTTAATGTCTAACTACAACCAATTCATAAAATTGTTCCATCGTCCATGATTGTCTTCAATGAGATCGAAGATCGTGGGTTCGAATCTCACATGCAAGATCGTGAATGAGCACTTCTAAGAAGCTCCATACTATGACGAAACGGACATCCACTGCTTCCATGTTTTCCATAATGATCTAGCTTTAATCAACTCATGAATTCAACTATTGAAATTACTACAAATTCCACCCCCCCCCCACCCCCCCTCCTTTCTTTTAAGTATATGTTTAATGATGTGAACATAGTTTATATAGAATTCATATATAGATCAAATTGTAAGTCAAATTTTCATGAATGAACTCAAAATATAACGCAATGTATATATATATATATAATAATATATAATATATATATTATATATATATGTCCTCAAATCTTTATCTTACAATTACCTAACCATTATCATAGTAATTTCATTATAATCTTTAAGTACAGTCTCAAATACATATTTTCATGAAACGTAAGATACACTAATCATCGTTATATAGGGTATTATATCATCATCTAGTTAAGATAAATAAAAATGAAAAAAAAATTCTATTATTTTAATTAAACAAAATGGAGGTATACATCAAAATACAACTGAAATAAGTCAACCAGTCAGTTAGTAAGCTGTAACATAGGACAAGGCATATATATAGATATGGATTGGTTCAAGTTGTCATACCTCATTAGCACAACATGATGAACATCAAATTCATAGAACTTAGTTACTTCAACAGCTTGTATTTAGAGGTGGAGTAAAGCATCTCAAACATCATGGCATTGTTGTTAAGTGCTACCAAAAGATTTTACATTTTATCAGCATCTTCATTAAACAGGATTATATCATCTAAATATTCTACGTCAATAAGTGAACTTTCTGGTAGCAGATCAATTTCTGAAAATTCAGTCGATAAGAATATTATTTCCAGTAGTAGGTGTATGATGAAATTAAACAATAATGAAGAGAGTAGGAAGCGTATCACCATAATCACAATTGATTGATCACTGGGTGACCAATGCCATGCGTGTCTAGTCCTTATTATTAGTGCAGATCGAATGCTATCGATCATGTTGCAATGTGGCCACCAGTCTAGGTGACTCGACACCGCTGGGCACTATTGTAAGGTCTAGATGGTGGTCGCGGCTCGGATAGCTCAGTGGTAACGTCTCTGACTGTGAAGCTGGGTGACAGGGGATCGAATCCGCCAGGGAGCACCAGTTCCCTCGGAGATTACAGGTACACCTTGCTGACGAGTGCGAAGTAGCACGAAACCCGGGTCCAGGGTTTCCTGCCGACCACCTCCAACCACCATCTAAGTTCACCATAATCTCTGATTAGATTAGTAATGTTCGAATAAAGAGCTTTCACAAGGTTTATGTAACAACTGAAATAAACTATTAATTGAACAAATAAACTAACCGCTGTACCTTTTAGGAAAAATCTACTACTAAGTATACAGATAACATTTAAAAGAAAACAATTGTTTTAGTTCGAATAATAAAATTCTAATTAGAAGAACTTGAAAACTGAAGAGATAATTCAAGACTAGGATGAATACTTATAACTTATGATGAATAGTGGCTAGTAGTGGAATCCAGGACAAAGTATGTTTCGTCCAATTTCAGACTCATCAGCTAGATAGATACAAGCAAATAACAATACGTGAATTTAGAATGAATGTTGTTTGGTTTTTTGATGCTTTCTAATCATTGATTTACTATTTAGATTAGTTCAAATTTAAAGAGATTGAGAGAAAAGTCCATTGTCTGTACCATTGAAATAAGATTTTGATCAGAGAGAATTATTTGTTAAGCTCAAATGAATCAATATAAGGATAATATTTTGATTATTAAACTTAATATTATACATTCCTAACGAATATTAAGTCGTGGATGCGCACTGTTGAGGAGCCCCGCAATAAAACGAAACGGCCATCCACTGTTTCCAGATTTTCCATGGTGGTCTAACATCAATTGACTCATGATCTCAACTGTTGAAATTACTACAATCTTCACAAAAACCTCTTATGATACGAATTGTTAAGTCCGTTTTACATTTTCTCTCATTATTTACTTAACTTCATCTCTTGTGAATATTGTTTTAAACTACTTATTAATATGCAGTAAGTAGTTTTGTTTCTAGTAATTTGTATTTGTACGTTGTAACGCATGTTTCCATGTAACTTGTAACATTTATTGTATTTATCATTATAATTAATTTATCTCCATCATAATAAAGGCCATCCACAATTTTGTGTATGTGTTTAACGTTGGTTGAAACATAACGGTTTCCTTATTGTTTGCTCTTAGTTGAGGTTTTGCTTATTAGTAAATTTAGAACAACATATATAAGCGAACAATATTGTTTTCGATTAGATCCTCATCAGGCTTTACTCTAATATACAGTAATGTATTTATATGCATATACGAAATTATTAAACCAATCAAGGTAGTTTATAAATCAATGATAACAATGAATAAAACGATTACATAATATGTGAAAAGTACAAATAGATAGTGTGATGATAGGTGTACTAGTTTTTATAAGAATAATAAAGGCTCATATCAATGTTACATAATCGGAAATAGGTCCATGATTAGAACAAATATAGATAGTGAGATAACATTTATAAAAATTATTATAAGATGACATAATGAGAAGTGTTCAGATAATTGAACCGTGAAAAAATAAAAATAAAATAGTAGGAGGGAGTGAAGAAGAATTAATAAACAAAGAGAAGGTTTGAAAAGAAAATAATAAATAAATTCATTTATTAAGGCCAAGGGACAGATAAGGGTGTTACAAATTTCTTCTGAACATAAAGACTCGGCTTGTTGGCTCGAATTCCTATAGCTTCTGCTATGTGTAAGAGACGAGATCGAACACCATAGGAAAAATTAGTGGGAATACGATAAATAACTTTAAATGACTTATTTCTGTCCACTACATGACCACTATCGATTAAGTGTGAAAGAACTGAGCTGCGTATTGTCTTTACGTAACCTTTTCCTAACCACGATGGGAGGTGTTCACTAACTCTTTGGTTCAGTTGCCTGGTTGTGCGCCCAATATACCTTTCTCCGCAGGAGCAGCTGAATTCGTAGATACACATAGAAGTGACGTAACCAGGTAACTTGTCCTTCAGTTAGGGAATCACCATAGATTGGGTCGAATACGATAGACAGAGGTTGGCAGCATTAAACGTTCTCTTGACTGTCATCACACTATCTATTTGTACTTTTCACATATTATGTAATCGTTTTATTCATTGTTATCATTGATTTATAAACTACCTTGATTGGTTTAATAATTTTGTATATGCATATAAATACATTACTGTATATTAGAGTAAAGCCTGATGAGGATCTAATCGAAAACAATATTGTTCGCTTATATATGTTGTTCTAAATTTATATTAGTAAACTGTTATCAAGTTTAGACACAGCTATCCACTTTGTTTTACACTATCTTATATTGTAATTATTCTTCATGTTACTGTTACAGGAAGCCCTTTATTTATTTCATACAAAAGAATGTATTAAATGTTGTAAACACCTTACAAGTTGAAGTTTATAACTAATTTTTGTATATTATTCAATAAAGAACTGCTATCTTGAAAAAATTGTTGTTTTACGAATGTCGATTTTGCGTATATCTTCATTGAATGATTTAGATGCTTCGATAAACTTAACAATTTTCAACTTTGATTCAAATTGGTTTGAATTCTGTTAGTAATTAAATCTGATCTAAATTTTGTTTTATTCCCTTGATCTGATAATGATAAGGATCATGAAAAAGAAGTACAATTCAAACAATTTTAGAAGAAATATATGATTCAATTGTTGAAATTATTATTCCTTTAGTCTCTAAAATGAACACACATTGATCATAGGAAACCAAAGCATAACGATATTTATTATATAGCCTAATTCTATGTAAGTATCAAACATAGGGTAGAAGAATAAAGAACCAATTTTTATAGAGATAAAAGTTGAAATCATTGAATTAAAAATTAGGCAATTTTTTGAACTTTGTAAACAACTATTAGAATTACAACAGATACATCTTAACAAGGTAAATTGAACTCTTCAATAGATCTAACAATAAAGAATAAAACAAAACACACATATATATACAATGAATATCTCCTGAGTTCAAATCTCGTGTGTGTGTGTGTGTGTGTGAGGGGGGTGTGTGTTAAAGGTCATTATCATGGATATGCATTATTGAAGAGTCTCTCATACTAAGACGAAACATTCATCAAGTGTTTCTTACATTTTTACATAATCATCTAACTTCAATTAACATATCATTTCAAATTATTGAAATAATTAAAAAAAAACATTGTGTTATAACTTACTTGATTCACTAAATAATCTATACGTGGTATTATATCTTGTAATCGTCCAATTGGACCTTGTACATCATTTGCCCATGTTTCAATATTAATTTGATAGATTAGTGTACGACGCCACCATGGTAATGCATATGGTAAATTTGGTATATTTTTTTTATTATATGCATAAATAATTCCAATAATTATACCAATAATAATAAGTAATATCAGTAGTATAATTAGAATCATTAAAATAATAAACATTTTCATACTTAAACCTTTAGGGGGTTGAAATTTTCTAGATTAGAAAAAAAAAAAAGGAAAAGTTAAAAATTCATGTAAATAAATAGAATGTATCCATTCTATTGATAATACAAGATGAGTATAAAGTTCTATATGATTATTCTATAGTTATTTGATTTACTCTTGTTATCCTTTGTTGAGGAGTATAGGTTAACGATCAGTATAACCAATTCTTGACAATCAGTCAACTACATCGTTTCAAGTTGTCATACTTCACTCAATAGCACAACAAGATGAATATTGGATTCATAGAAGTAGTTAATTCAATGGTGGTAATATATAAAAGAAAGATTGTATATAAGAGAATAGAATAGGAAGAAAGAATTAGTTCGTAGATATAAAAAATATGAAGCGACACCGATGCCATTGTGATCGATTCTGAATTATGTCACACAAACTCTCCAACCATTGGTTATGATAGTCACGTGGACTTCAACCAAGTAGTCTGCATCAACCAACATGGCTAAGATGAGAAGTTAGTGAGTTCAAGGACTGACGCCATGTTTTGGTTTGGTCACTCGTAACTTTCTACCAAACAACACTAGTCAGCATTGTGCGTTGTAGTAATCGGTGTTCAGGCATACGTAATATGTGACCCAACCATCTCAGTTGATGAAGATTCACAATCTCATCAACTGACTTATCATCATTCCTGAATACCCTATGCATCTAACCTCACTATTACTTACCTGATGATGCCAGCAGATTCGAGCAATATTTCTAAGGCATCTGTGGTCAAATACTAGTAGCTAATGAGTATCTTCAACTCTTAATGGCCATATTTCACAACCGTAAAGTAAAAGTGAACGAACTGCCATGTAATATACTAGACACAGTGTGTCGGTCATCATCTTTTCTATTTTCATTCAAAATTTTAAGTTAACTGAGCTGAATGGTTTTCTTAATGGATCTTTCATTGTTCATTTGAACGATATCATCAGTATAAACTTCAAGTAAAAGTGAAATGTTCGAATTTCTTCAGATATATGGTTCACAGCTTGTTACTAATTGCTAACAGATTGCAAAATTAGGATCTATGTTATAATAAACGAATCAATTATATAATAAAGTTTCTTTACATACCATATTCAAGAAGATCCCGATTGGTGAATACTCATTTTAAAAACAATAAAGACTTTTCAAATATCTTGATTAGTTTCATACAATGTGTTGTTATGTATTCATCAAAAGTAATTGTTACATAGAAACAGTTTACTCGTTAAGAACACATAAGAGAATGTACACATAAAATAGGATGCTTCATACAGGTGATATGTGTATGGGTTGAGATACTGCCCAATTTCTCAAGCCAAAACATGAACTCGAGTCCCAGAGTGAACATCAACTCTGAGATGTTAGTTCATTCAGTTGACGAGTTCTAAATAGAACGAAACGCGCACGAAATTGGGTTTCACTATTAGTCACTGTCAATCTTTGCTTAAAAAGCCTGAGACTTAAGCCTATATTGAGGCAATTCGCATAGGATGCACATATGCCAACATAAGACTGATCAATTACAGTCGTAAATAACAATAGGAAGATACAAGTAAAACAACACCAAGTGAATTTTCTTCTGGTTTGATCTTGTATAATTATTATTTTCTATGTTATGGTATGATGCGGTTTGATTTGCTTACGTATAGGCTAAGTATCTCTGAACTACACGATTCATATAGAGGAATCTGATATTAGTGTTTTGGACTGAACCGGCTTGATTAAGTGAGAAACTACTATCCTAAAAATCCAGCAAGAACTCTAGGCTGTTTGTATTGGTTTATGCTTCATTTCTCTGGTTGTATAAGTCGATATCTCTAATTGGTGATATTATCTCGTGATATGTATCAATAGGCATTAACAAGACATAGTGATTGACATATGTACGTTGTGAATAGATTGCTGAGATAAGTTTATTTATTTATAAAAAACATCTGAATTGTGGATATGAAGGATCCACTTAGGAAAGTTGGAAAACTCTCATTCCAAACCAATGATGTACATGGGTTCCAGGATCCTGAAGAAACAAATGGTGTATAAACCAATCGTTGTTCACCAGATACCATGAGACTGAATCTCTTGACATTGCTCCACTGCTTTGTGAATTAGACGTTTAGGTCAAAGGCTCTGGGTGTGGCCCCTTGAGAAAATCACCTGCTTCCGTTTGGGCACCTGGACAGTTTCCCAGCCGTCATATAAATCGAATGATTTATGTGGCGTATATCTATTTAGTGCCTCCTTGTTCCAGTGTTTATGTGTTCAAATAAATAAATAAATAAACTACCAGTCTATGGTTATTAATTGAGATCATGAACCGATTGATATTAGACCACCATTAGGAACCTGGAAGCACCGGATGGCCGTCTTGTCCGATTGCGGGACTCCTCAGCAGCGCGCGTCCATCATCCTACTCGCAGGATTCGAACCCAGGGCCTCCAGTCTCGCGCGCGAACGCTTAACCTACTGCACCACTGAGCCGTCATTCAACGGTGTTAATGTCTAACCTCAACCAATCCACGAAGTTGCGCGACCATCAGTGGTATCATTTAGTCTTTGTAGATACAATTCATTATTGATCCATAAATATCAGTTAGTTAGTTAGTTAGTCAGTCAGTCAGTCAGTCAGTCAGTCAGTCAGTCAGTCAGTCAGTCAGTCAGTCAGTCAGTCAGTCAGTCAGTCAGTCAGTCAGTCAGTCAGTCAGTCAGTCAGTCAGTCAGTGACAACGTAGAACTTCGTATGTACGTACCTCATTTCGAGTTGCCATACCACTTAGCACACAGTTGCAATTGTCGATTCAAATCCCATAGTGTAAGAGGTAGTAAAAGTATAAGCAGTAATTTGAAACATTAGGGTTTGAAGATGTTTTTTAAGGAATGTAATCCACTGAAATAAATTTGGAAAGAAACAAATAATGTGGACATGAAGAATTCAGAAGATCAGAATTTGAGAGAACACAAAGAGTGTATACACTTACAACATTGCAAACGATTTTATGTCATGTCATATTTAAGGTCTCTAACCTTCCTTCCAACCTACTTCCTACTTCCTCTCATTAGTTTGTCAATTGTTATCATCTTTTGAATCCTAACCAGATTTTTTTTTCATTTCATTGTAACACATAAGTATAGGTACAGGGAGGCACCAAGTACATATGCGCCACACAAATCTCAATTGATTTGTGTGAGGGCTGTGATACTGCTCGGGTGCCCAAACCGAAGCAGGTGGTTTTCTTAGGGGGCCACACCCCGAGCCCTCGACCTGAACGTCTGGTCCACAAGGCAGTGGAGCATCGTAAGGAGATGCAGTCCCATGGTAGCCGGTCACCAACGATTGGTTCATACGTCATTTGTTCCTTCAGGCAGGATACTGGAGCCCATGTGCACCATTGGTTTGGGATCCGGTTAAAGCGCCGGACATTCGATTTTCGTCCTCTCATTTTTGTAAACAACACCCCCGCCACGAGAAGGCAGTGAGTAGGACTTCCCTGGCAGAGGCTATATACGCATGGCCATGTAAGAGCATTTCGAGAGGGAGACCGGACTCTCCCCACTCTCAGCCGTACCAGGGCATTTGGGGGCATCCTAACCAGATAGTCTATATCGACCAACATGACTCAGTCCACTTGTCAGTGACTTCATGGATTTGTACCATGTTTAAGTATGACCGCCTCTACCTTCCTTTCAACCTACTTCCTTTCACTAGTCTATTAGTTATTATCATTTCATAGATCACAACTAGATAGTCTACAATAGACTAACATGATTTAATCCATTTGTCAATAACTTCATTAATATATCCCATATTAACCATAAATATTAATATATAAACATAAACAAAATATTAATCAATCATAATAAAAATCAATTACTTTTGATTTTTTTTATTGATTATCGTTTGTTTTAATAATGCCATTTTATTAATAACAGCTCCATCATCCATAACTACATTATGTTTTTGTACAAATCCAATTAATTCTGATTCTATATTATATAATTGATTGATTGAATTATTATATTTTTTCATTTGTTTATAATTTATTTCATTAGTAGTATATCCATTTATTATATTATTTCTTATTTTATTTGTATCATCATCATCATCATCATCATCATCATGATCTCGATCATCCTCTTCATGATCTCGATCATCATCCTCATCATTATGATCATTAGAATATCTTGTATAATTCAAATGTTCATGTGTAATAGACATGATACAATAATTTAAATGATCAAACGGATACCGTATATTAAATATTGTATAACATATCTATCTATTTCTCTCTCTCTCTATATGTATATATCTATATAAAATTTGTTTTAATCAATGACTCAATTTTAAAAAAACAATTACTTCATTCTGATTGGTTAATTCATTTATCAAGGTCTGCCCGTTACTATAACTACAAGTGTTTATTGACTACCAGTGAAGAAGAAGAAGAAGAAGAGGATCGATAATGAGTCATATGTGTTAGTGAATAAAGGTCAATTATGGATTTATGTCTTGAATAAATGTGCATCAATTAAAATGGTATCATTCTATGTATGTAGATATATATATATATACGGAAGAATAGAAGGAAACGTTTGAAAAGAGAATGTGATTTTATAATAAACATTAGATTTATTACTTATTTCTTATTAGTCAGTAGTATAACATTGATTACTTACTTACTTACGCCTGTTACTCCTCGTGAAGGAGCATAGGCCGCTCACTAGCATTCTCCATCCAACCCTATCCTGGGCAATCCTTTCAAGCTCTTTCCAGTTCTTATTCATCTTTTTCATATCTGTTTCTATTTCCCGACGTAATGTGTTCTTTGGCCTTCCTCTTTTCCACTTCCCTTCAGGATTTCAAGTTAGCGCTTGTCTCGTAATGCAGTTTGATGATTTCCTCAATGTATGTCCTATCCATTTCCATTGTCATTGATAGGATTGACTAATTCAATAATTCTAGTAATATGTCATAAAGAAACACTTGGTAAGATCTGAGAATCATAAAGGAAATTCATCATTTGAAAAATGTTAATCAATTAACTTATACTTTATTGTTCCTTTCAAACATACTCTGTTGTCATTCTATTATCTTCTAGTTTCTTAATTGTCTATTATCAGGTATTCTATTATACATTTCCTTTGTGATTATATTTCTAACAAAATTTCTCCCTTTTTTTTTTCCTATTCTGTTACCATTGTTGAATGAATTACTTTTATTGTGTAGTGCTAATGTTCAATTCATGTTCGATGGTGAATATTTTCGGCAAGTTGGTGGTGTAGCTATGGGTAGCCGTTTGGCGCCTCTCCTAGTTGATGTATTCATGTCATGTGTAGAAAACAGGACAAGTGAGCTTATTAGTAAGGTAAATCTATATAGAAGATACATGGACGATATTCTAATTATATGTGATAAAGATTTTGACGTTAACAGATTACTGGATAAACTCAATAGTGTTCAAGATGATATCGTGATGGTACATGAAGTAGAAAGTAATGGTAAATTGGCTTTTTTTAGACATACTTTTAAGTCGAAGGGATGATGGTACTATTAGATGGTCAATGTATAGGAAACCTACCTGGACGGAACAATACTTAAATTTCTATAGTTTTTGTCCATTGCAATACAAACGAGGCTTGGTTAAGTGTCTCTTTAAAAGGACTCAAAAGATTTGTACATCTGACACGGTGGAAAAAGATGAAATGTTACTGACTGACACATTAATAGCAAATGGTTATCCATTAAAGTTTAATAATAGATGGAAAAGTCAGTTAATGCCAAGACCTCTTGTTTATTCGGTCCTAAAGAATTAATCTACCATATAGAGGTGAATCTAACAGCATAGTTTTAAGACAGAGATTGAAAGCAGCGATCGAGAATACGTATTATGCTGCTTAATTGTTTGTGATTGAAAAGTCCAAGGCCATGATTCCTAGTAGACCCAGACAATGCACTAATGATTACGTCACATCCGATTGTATTTACCAATTTACATGTTTGTGTGGACACACATACATAGAGAGGAGTAATCGAACAATGCAATCAACGGTCAATGAACATGTGCCTAAATGGCTTCAAAATCAATGTGTGTCAAATGATCCGATCAACGTGGGTGGTAGAAAACGAGGGTCATCGATAGCAAAACATAAAATTGAAACGGGGCACAAAATGGATATTAATACAGCTTTTAAAACGTTCTATAGAAATTGTCAAGGACGAATTCTTAAGTTTATTGAAGTCTTGACTATTCGTAAATTTAAACCCCCCCCCCTTGAATTTACCTTGGTAATCCTTGAGTCATTCTATGGCCTAGGATAATGCGACAATTTCTTATCCTTTCTCTCCTCCTTTGTTATACTTTTTGTTTCAGAAGGGGTTTTGTGGAGATTGTAGTAATTTCAATGATTAAGATCATGAGTCAGTTGAAGCTAGACCACCATGGGAAACCTGGAAGCACTGGACGGCCGTTTCGTCCTATTGTGGGGCTCCTCAGCAGTGCGCATCCTTGACTTCGCCCTCTGCGAGATTCGAACCCAGGACCTACTGGTTTCGCGCGCGAGCACTTAACCACTAGACCATTGAGCCGGCATTGTTTGTTTGTTTGTACTTTAACTTTCATGTAATTGACCTTTATTAGTCTTCATATAAAATAACCTGACAAGCGTGTATATGTGACCAGATTGTTCGAAATATATAGCGCAAATACATCACATTTTTCAGATCAACTCCATCTTCTCATTGTTCTATCGTAATGATATATATACTACTTATATCTGTTCATATCAGTAGGATACACTATACCAATTGTTTCAGACTATGCTACTTATTCATTATCGTACTAATCATTCTGTGTTGTTGTTCTTTTCTGTTTGATTTTCTCAATCGCCTGTTATCAGGTATTCCATTTTCGATTAATGATATATACTACTTATATCTGTTCATATCAATAGAACATAACATAATAGAAGTTCACAGATTGTTACAGTTGATTATCAATAGTTTCATGAGTAGTTTTGAGAATAACACTAATATGTGATATTTAATTGATATTGATATGATGCGAATCAAATTCACTTTCTACTAGAGACTATTAGAATATGAATGAACATAGTATAGAGAAATTGTGGAGATTGTTATATTCTCTTGAAGGAGATTTGTTCTCTGAGATGTATGGTATGTTACAAGAGCTTTCATTGTTCTTTTGAACGACAACATCATTATAACCTTCAGATAGAAATGAAGTGTTACATTCCGGATTATTCTTAGTTAGATTACCAGTAAGAATCTGGAAGCAGTAGTAGCTGTTTTATTTTATTATAAATTATATCGACAATGAGTATCTAAGACTCTAATATGGATCAAATCAGACGCCTTCCACTACACAGTGAATGAGATCTTAATCATTTTGTGTAATGACTAACATGTATTCAATAAGCATTGTAAAATAATTCTAGATTTTGTCAGATTATATCGGTATCGAAATTAGACCTAACTATCATAAAGAACTTCGAATCTAGGGTTTCATATTCCTCTTTTTTTCATTAATTAAGGAGATGATATCAAGTTTCTCATTCTGATTAGATTATAATTAAATAACACCTAAATAGTACTGTGGTGTGAGCTACTTATATCCACATAAGTAATATATATCTGTAGTCAGAAATAGAATGTATTTCAGTAGAAGATCAAGAAAGGCAAAATGGGAACCGAAAGCAATTAGTATGAAAATGCACGAGCAATGAAATCTGAAATGATTGATGAACTACTTATATCCACATAAGTAGTATATATCTGTAGCCAGAAATAGAATGTATTTTAGTAGAAGATGGAGAAGCAAGGAACGAGAATGGAAAGCAATTAGTATGAGAATACACGAGTAATGAAATCTGAAATGATTGATGAACTACTTATATCCACATAAGTAGTATATATCTGTAGCCAGAAATAGAATGTATTTCAGTAGAAGATGGAGAATCAAGGAACGAGAATGGAAAGCAATTAGTATGAAAATGCATGAACAATGATATCTGAGACAATGAACTGACATTTGTAAAAGGAATAATGAAATTTGAAATGATAAATTATCATTTTTTCAAATTGAGCATTCACTGTATGATTCTCAAATTTTACTAAGATTTTTTGTAATTTTGTGCTCAAACACATTCGATTATCCTCACTTGCATCTTCGTTCATGATAGTATCAAGGATTTCGAGATAGTGGCAAAGTTTTGTTCTCTGAAGTGTATGGTTTGGTCGTAGAGCTTTCATCGTTCTCTTGAACAACATCATCAGTATAATCTTTGGATAGATGTGAAGTGTTCAAATTTCTTCATATATGGTACACAGATTGTTATTGATTGTTAATGGACTGCAAAATTTATACCTTAAAAGTTTATATTCATTGTTCTAGTAAACTCATATGTCTCTGTAAGCACAATGAAAGTTTGATCTTGAACGGTTATAAAGACTAAGAAGGATAACTTAATCTAAATTTTGTTTAGTTCAAATGAAATGGGAAACCATTTTTCTCTTTAGGATAGTTCCTTTGAAGTAGATGTGATGTGCGCCTATATCGACATAAGTAGTATATAATGTCAGTCAGGAATAGGATATCTGACAGCGGAAGATCAAGAAGATCAAAGAAAACAGAACAAGAATAGGGAATGATTAGTATGGAAATGAATGAATATTGAAGTTTGAGACGGTTGATTAACATTTTGTCAATGAAGTATTTACTGGATTGTTCTCAAATTTTATAAAGAGATTCTGTAATTTTCTGTTCTAGTACATTCGATTGTTCCTACATGTGTGTTCTTGTTCACTACACTGAGACTTTATTGATTTTCCGAGGTTCGTGTTACATTATCGATTCTTTTTGAAATGTCTCTCTTTCATATTTTCTTCTTATTTTACTGTTCACAGTAACAGATGAAGTCAGTAAACAAGAAGAAATAGTTCTATCGTTTAACTCAATTATCATTTCAACAATAACAATGGAACTTCTTATAACTAGTCTTGATTACTGATATTATATATAACGAATAAATTAAGATTCAATATCATATAGAAAACATTCTCTTCTCTAGATGTGAATCATTGCAGATTGATACTGTTT